TTGCCCTCAGCTCCTATCCGGGTGGGAAGGGGGGCGTGGGGTCCCTCCAGAGCCTGTCTCTGCTTGGCAGCCTGTGTTGAGGACTTGCTCCAAGCCTTGAGCAGAGGGAAATGCAGCTGATCTGCTGTGAAAGGGGCTTTTCACAAGGGGGGTTGGACTTAAACTGAAGAAGAGCAGGTTTAGATGGGATATTGGGAAGGAAATTCTTCCCTCTGAGGGTGGTGAGACACTGCCACAGGTTGCCCATAGAAGCTGTGGCTGTCTCTGAATCCCTGGAAGTGTCCAAGGCCAGGCTGGACAGGGCTTGGAGCAGCCTGGGATAGGTGTCCCTGCCAGTGATGTCTCCTCCAGCTAAAGGGACGTGGTTTTCCTCCACCTGGATATGGGTGCCCACAGGTGCCTCCTTCCAAGCAGGCAGAGCACTGCTCCGAAGCCCCTGGCATGGGGAGCAGCAGGGAGCTTTCCTTTCATAGCTCAGTGATGCATTTGTGCCTTTCAGACTAAAAATACCTAAGGATGGAGATACGAAAACTCTTCTCTCCTACGTTATGGTTTTCCTTTGTTCCCACATGTTTTCCTCCAACCCCTGCATCCCATTATCTGCCTCAGGCTGCCCGTGGGTGAAGGATGAGCAGCTCACACCCAGGCAGTGAAAATCCCTCCTTGGAGGGAAAAACCCATCCATCACATGGAGTCCTTGGATCAAGACCAAGGTCTCATCTGGGATGGGAGTGAGGAAAAGGCTTTTTCTGCCAGTGCTGGCTGCCCACATCCTGCTGCCCACATCCTCCTGACTGCTTGGAGCATCCCTCGAGCAGGGATGGAGCAGATCCCAGCCTGCACCCACGTCCAGCCCGGTACGGGTCCATATGGACCTGCTGGGATTGATGGGGAGGTGAGGGAACAATGGCATGCACTCCTTGTGCCCCCGAGGAAGAGCACACCTGAGCTGCAGCACACGGGTCTGTCCCTGGGCCGTTCTGATGTGTCATTTCAACAACGTGAAGCCCAAAAATAGGGAAGAAAATTAATAAATAAGGGAATGTTCCTGCTCAGATTGTTTTAGCCATTTCTGCTGTCAGATGCTTTACCAGCTGGCCAAGCTGGAACTAGGGGAGAGTGGCTGGCTTTGTGATTATCTGGAAAGATGAGCCAGAATATGGCTCAAAAATGGGAAATATTTGTATGAACTGTAAGAAATTACTCATTCCCACAGGCGTAATTCCAGACATTGATTCATTTGGTTAATTTTCAGTGGAAAAAAATAAGTCTTTACATCCAAGAAAGAGGATGTTGAAGGGTGCCTGGTGTTTGTTATGTGGAACACAAGGGCATTTGGTGTTTAATATTTTTTGTTGCATTAATGATTGCTCCAAACAGCCTTAGCAAGGTTCTTCCTGGGGGTGTCCAGCATGGATACCCAACATGTGACTGTTTATCACACGTGCTCCTTTTGGACAGCCTTTTCCAGGGAAGGCTGGGTCCAGCAGCCCAGGGGTGGGGATTTAAGGGATTCCTTTGTGGAAGAAATACATGATAAACAGTAAGGGAAAGTAAGCATTGGGTGGGTTCAGACCATATTCCTGGGGGCTGGTTCTTTGGGACAAAGAAAAGCCAGGGGAGCCTGGGCTCCCGTTCCTTCTCCATGGCACTGGAGGGATGGAATGGCAGCTGTTGATGCGGCAGGGATGGAGATGGGCTGTGGGTTCAGACCATATTCCTGGGGGCTGGTTCTTTGGGACAAAGAAAAGCCAGGGGAGCCTGGGCTCCCGTTCCTTCTCCATGGCACTGTTGATGCGGCAGGGATGGAGATGGGCGAGCAGGAGCTGCTCCTGGCCAGGCACACGGGGACAGGCTGGGCCCTGCAGGGAGCAGAGATGAGGGATGGCTGTCCTGGAAATCACATTGCGCCGTCTCCTGCACCTCCGCTGCTCCCACGCGGAATCTGATTACTCTCCTGCTCCAGAGAAAGCCTTCCTCGGCTGCTGGCTGTGCACAGCTGTCTGCTCTGCTTGTGAAGTCCCTTTCTGTGACTGCCACTCCGGCCTCCATGGCCAGGGATAATCCCAGGGCTGCTGGGAACACCCCCTTCCTGAAAGGCAGGACAGTGACCCCCAGCCCGCACCAGCCTTTAGCCAGGAGCGAGCCCCTGCCTGCTCCCAGCTGATTTCAGGATCATTTTTCTCTGCATTTCAAGTTACTTACAAGAGAAGCCACCAAACCAAAATTCCCATTCTGCAAAGACCCTGGGAAAACTGAGTCAAAATTCCTGTTCTGCACAGATTCTGGTGAAAACTCACTGGGTTTTGAAGGGGAACATGGTATAATCTTGATAATTTTGTCCAAGAATTATATTTTCTGCTCTGCCTGCTCCTGCCAGGATTGCTGGGGCTGGGAGCAGTGTGGCTCATTTTCCCCAGCATCAGAGATTTCCATGATCCATCTGGGAAAGCCCCTTGAGTCCATTCAGTGAATCCCCCACCTCCCTGCAAAGGGATATGGAGCCTCCAAGGTGGGAAGGAGCAGCACTGTCACACAGGCAGAAGACATCTGGCTTTGCTTTCTCTGGCCAAAGTGCACCCTGAGAGCAGAGCTGCTGCAAACCCTCCCAGGCTGAGCACTGCAGGCAGCCCTTGGCTGAACTCTGAACCTCTCTGTGCAGGAAATAACGAGAGTTCACAGAGATAAATGGTGCTGGGGACAGGACTCCATCCTGGATACTGCTCCAAGGCCTGCTCCGAGGCCCTCCCAGTATCTCATGTCAGACTGGGTTGGGTTGGGAGGGATTCAAAGCCCACCCAGTGCCACCCCTGCCACGACAGGGACACCTCCCACTGTCCCAGGCTGCTCCAGCCCCAGTGTCCAGCCTGGCCTGGGATATTCCAGGGATCCAGGGGCAGCCCCAGCTGCTCTGGGAATCCTGTGCCAGCCTCAGAGGGAAGAATTCCTTCCCAATACCTAAGAGTAAACGTCCTGATGTAGGCTACCACCCACTAATAATAACAATAAACTTTTCCATAAATATTTGTGTTTGTAGGAGAAAGGGAAACCCGTGCTTGTATCACTGGGATCCGAGGAGCTCAGTCCTGCCCTCAGACAGAGGTGACACATCCACGGGGTGAGTGTCTGGGAGGGAGCAAAAGGAGGGAAAAACGAGGGATCCCCTCTTGCTGGAAAGGAAAATAAATGTTTAATGGAGGAAATACAAAGTTCAAACCAGGGTGCCCTCCCAGTGAGTCCACTGCATGTCCCAGTGCTCCCAGTGTGCACAGCACAATCCCCAGTGGAACAGTGTGTGCCCAGGGTGCCCTCCCACTGAGTCCACTGCACGTCCCAGTGTTCCCAGTATGCACAGCACAATCCCCAGTGGAACAGTGTGTGCCCAGGGTGCCCTCCCAGTGCACCCCCTGCACATCCCAGTGTTCCCAGTATGCACCGCACAATCCCCAGCCGAACCGTGTGTGCCCAGGGTGCCCTCTCAGTGCACCCACTGCACGCCCCAGTGCTCCCAGTGTGCACAGCACAATCCCCAGTGCAGCCAGTGTGTGCCCAGGGTGCCCTCCCAGTGCACCCACTGCACGTCCCAGTGTTCCCAGTGTGCACAGCACAATCCCCAGTGTGTGCCCAGCTCGTGGCCCGGGTGCCCTCCCCGTGTGTGCCCCGTGGCAAACCGGCCGGGATGGGACAGGAGCCCCAGCAAAGCTCCGGGAATCCCTGACAAGCTCCAGGGAAGCCCAGCGAGCTCCTGGGTCAGGGGCTGCTCGCTGCACTGTGAGCCTAAGGTAGTTAGCTAATTAACGCTGGCTAATTAAGCTCTCGGCTAGGACGGGACGGTGGGAAGCTGCTGCTTTAGCCCACGAGAGGGCAACGCTTCCCTGGCTGCTGGCCACGCTCGGGAAAACCGGATTCCTGGTTTCCATTAGGAACCGAACGAGGAATTCCTTCTCTTCTTCAGTGTTCCTAAAGGTTTTGTTTGGGTTTTTTCATTGGGGCACAACGCAGGACACTCCTCCTGTGCATCCCCGCGCTCCCGGCTGGAATGGCAGTGGAGAGGAGCCGGGCAGGCTGGTGATCCCATCTCCTCTCCCATAAAAGCTGCTGTGGAGACAGGCTGGAGCCGGGCAGCCTGGCAGTGCCAGGGACAGCCTGTGCTGGCATGGGAAAACCACGGAAAAGGGCGAGGAGAGGTGTTCCCGGTGCTCCCAGGGCAGGGACGCTCCGCGGGCACACTGGGCAGAGGTGGGCATGGGCATGAGCGCAGCATCTTCCCCATTCTCCTGGAATTTTATAGAATCCCACACTGGGAGGGACCTTAAAGCCCATCCCATTCCATGGCAGGGACGCCTTCCTCTATCCCAGGCTGCTCCAAGCCCTGTCCAAGCTGGCCTTGGGCACTGCCAGGGATCCAGGGCAGCCACATTTTCCCTGGACAATGCGTGCCAGGGCCTGCCCACCCTCATTTCCCTCTCCCTCCTGCAGCTGCCAGGCTGGAGCCCATATTTAAATTTCAATTCCCCACCCTCATTTCCCTCTCTCTCCCGAAGCTGCCAGGCTGGAGCCCATATTTAAATTTCAATTCCCCACCCTCATTTCCCTCTCTCTCCCGAAGCTGCCAGGCAGGAGCCCGTATTTAAATTTCAGTCCCCACCCTCGCCTGCCCCTGGAGAGAAATGTTTTCCCAGGTGATGCCAGGATCAAAGCCCCACAAGCAGAGGCACGCCGGGCTGGCTCGGGCAGCGGACAAGCCTCTGCAAATACCGCACTGCCCCTCCCTGGCAACACCAACTCCCAAAATTCCCGCGATACCCACGCTCCAACCCCACCATCACCCCCAGAACCCCCGCGTGTGCTGCGGCCCCTCGGGCTCACGCTTCTCCCGCTCCGCCCCTTCCCAAACAAACCGGCTTTGCCTGTGGAATTCTGCGGGAATTTGGGAGAACCGCGTGGCCCCGCCCACCACTCTCCTGGCCCCGCCCAGTCCCGTTCGGGGCGGGGCCACGCGGGATGGGCGGGGCCTGCGCGGGGCGGGGCGTGGCTCCGGTCGGTGGGCGTGGCCGTGCTCCCGCTCCGGCGGCCCGTGCAGAGCCCGGGAGCGGCGCTCGGTGAGTACCGGGATCGCGGCACCGGGATCGCGGCACCGGCACCAGGACAGGGACAGGGGGGTTCCCAGCGGGAGCAGCGAGCCTGCCGCCCGCACGGCCCGCCCGGCTCCGCGCGGCCGCGGGAGGCGCCGGCCCGGCCCCTCGGCTGCCGGGCCTGCGGGGCGGGCCGGGCCCGAGCCGTGCCTGCCCGCTCCGGGGCTTGCCGTGCAGTTTTTTTGGGGTTTTCCACCGGTTTTCGTGGCGCTGAGGAGGGCTCCCGGCGGCAGGCAGCGCGCGGGCGTGATGCGGTCCAACAAGTGGCACGGCAGTGAGGGAAAATCTGCTTAATTGTGAAAAAAATGATGGGCTTAATTAGGCAGAAATAATCCTAAAATAGGCAGGTTTTGTCTTCATTTCCTTCTCCTTCCCGCCTCCTTCCCTCCAGACCTTTTCCATGGCTCCGATGGACGCCCAGAGCTGGCGGCTCCAACTCCAGGTTTAGCTTTCAGCTAAATCCCTCAAATTTCCCCAATTTCAGCATTCCCAGCCGCCGGGCCGCGGGTTTTCCCTGGAATCACCGGGCTCTGCTTGACGGGGGAAGTTTCCCACGTGCGGGGAGCTGTGGGCTGAGTGTGGGAAGGAGGTTAATTAGTGGCAAGCGTCATTATTCCAGGAGGTTTCGTGCTGGTGCTGAGATCACACACCCTGCTGCAGCAATAGGTTTGCTTGGAACCATGGAATTGCAGAACATCCTGAGCTGGAAGGGACCCACACGGATCACTGAGCCCCGCTCCTGGAAGTTCTCCGTTCCTGTAGTAACTTTAAAATTGTGATTCTCTAGTGCAAGCTTAAATTCTTTACTTTTTGGGGAGTGTGGGGGGGGAAGAGGGTTTTGAGTGTATGTTGTGATTTTAGCCTGGCGCTTTTAGGAAGGAGCTGGAGCTGTGTCAGGAGGTTGGATTTTGGGACAGGCTGTTCCTGCAGGGGTGGTGGGCACTGCCCAGATCCCCTGGGAATGCCAGAGCTCCCCGAGGCACAGGGTGACATTTTGGGGCTGTTTTGTGCAGGGCCAGGGGCTGGGCTGGATGATCCTCGTGGGTCCCTTCCAGCTCAGGATACTCCGTGGTTCTATGATTAATTAATTTCTGTGGCAATTGCAGAGTGGCAAAATGGAATTGCCAGCAGTCTGCCAGGCGATTATCCGGGGTTTTAATTGGCTCAGAGCCCCCAGGACCAGGGACACGCTGGTTGTGGTGTTTGTCTGGGGTGTAAGTTGTGCAGACACCTGAACTGGCACTTCTGGGAGTGAAGGGACGGTGGCAGCATTTTGTGCTGCTAGGTGCCACTAAATGAGCTTGAGGGATTAGTGTGGAGTTAATGACTCCTCAATGCCGTGTTCCACCCTGGCTGGGATGCACCACAGCATTTGGGATCTCTCTGACCAAGGAGCAGTCAGTTCCAGAGAGGAGCAGTGATGCTGAGGGGGAGCTCAGTCCATAATCACCCAGCTGGTGGGGGATTTTTCCTTGAAAGATGAAATTCTCCTCTTGCCCTGAAAGAGCTTCTTGGGCTCCCAGGCAGCAGAACAGCAGATCTCTTGTCTTGCTGGTGTTAAATCAAATTATTGAATTGTGTTGTAGGTTTTAGATATTTTTTATTTCAAATATAATGTGATAACTTTTTAAGCACTGAAAGTTCTTCGGGTTTTAGGTTCTATTGCTAAAAACACTCGGAATATTTGAACCAGATTCAGTGGAGTTCTCTGTAGCAGGGCCTGGAGTGACACAGTAGAATTAGGGAATCCCAAATGGTTTGGGTTGGGAGGGACCTTAAATCCCACCCAGAGCCACCCCTGCCCTGGCAGGGACACCTCCCACTGTCCCAGGTGCTCCAAACCCATCCAGCCTGGCCTTGGGCACTGCCAGGGATCCAGGGCAGCCACAGCTGCTCTGGGAATTCTATTCCAGGGCCTGCCCACCCCCCAGGGAACAATTCCCAATTCCCAATAATCCCAATCTCCCATCCATCCCTGCCCTCTGGCAGTGGCTGCCATTCCCTGTGTCCTGTCCCTCCCTGCCTGTTCACAAAACCCCTCTCCCTCCTTTTTCTGTGGCTCCAGCATCCCTGCAGGAGCTGAGTGGGGATGCTGAGCACGACTCTGTGGGGTGGGAAGCTGCTCCTGCCCTGGACACAGCTCCCCAGGTCCCAGAGAGATCCCAGTGTCCCTCTTTTCCTGTGCTGTGCAGTGAAAGCAGATCCCCGTTGCTGCACAGCCCCACAATGCTCACCCTTCCCCTGTGTCCCCTCTGCCGAGCAGGGATCCCTGAAATAGCCCTGGGCAGGGGCAGGGCTGGGAGTGAAGCTCCATGGACCGGGATGGAACACCCCCAGTTCTTGGAGGTCGTCACGGAGTCGCTTTTTCTTGGGAAATGGGAGCTGCAGATGTGTGGTGACTCTGGGATTGCTGCACTCACTGCTGGAGTTGTGCAGCTGTGTGCTGGGTTTGCACTGTTGCACAGCTGGGGCTCGTTTTTCCAAGCCTCAGTATTCCTCCTGCACTCAGAGTTGGGAGCTCGTGGTCCCACATCATTCCTGCTCTCAGGAATCACCTGGGGGGAGTTTGGAAGGGTGACACAGCGCTGGGGACATGAAAAAAAGAAAGAAAGTTGGAAAAAAGTAGAAAGTTCCCATTCTGTGTTTCGCAAGGATTGATGAGAAAGAGCAGAGGCTGTGACAGAATTCCTCAGGGTTGTGGTGGCATTCTCCAAGGGATTTTAGGGAGGGAGGTAGAGGCAGGAAGGTGGGGGTACCCCTGGGGGGGTGGGATGTGGTGGGGGTCCATCCAGCCCCTGGGGAGACACTGGCTCTGGGGATCCAGCACTCCCAGGGGATCCAGCATTCCCAGGGCATCCAGCATTCCCAGGGCATCCAGCACTCCCAGGGGATCCAGCACTCCTTACTGGGGAGCTGCTGGGCCCCTTCCAGCCCGGTGTCCCTGGATCCACTCCTGGATCCTCTGGGGTGTCACCAGAAGATGCCTCCAGCTTTGTGACCCTCAGGAGAGGAAGGACCTGGAGCTGTTGGAGGGAATCCAGAGGAGGCACCAGGGTGATCCCAGGGATGGAGCAGCTCTGCTGGGAGGAAAGGCTGGCAGAGCTGGGATTGTTCACCTGGAGAGGAGGAGCTTTGGGGTGAGCTCAGTGTGGCCTTGCAGGGCCTGAAGGAACTGCAGGAAAGATTGAGAGGGAGTTTGGACAGGGATGGAGGGACAGGACACAGGGAGTGGCTCCCACTGCCAGAGGGCAGCCATGGATGGGAGATTGGGAACTGGGAATTGTTCCTGGCAGGGTGGGCAGGGGCTGGGCTGGAATTCCCAGAGCAGCTGTGGCTGCCCCTGGATCCCTGGCAGTGCCCAGGCCAGGCTGGAGCACCTGGGACAGTGGGAGGTGTCCCTGCCATGGCAGGGGAACAGAACAAGAAGATCTTTAAAAGTTCCCTTCCGACTCCAGCCAGTTGGGATTCTCTGAAAGCTGAGGCCTGGGGTTCAGTTCAAATCCCAGCTCCCTGGGAGCCCCAGGCTGCGTGGCTGGGGCTGGATCACAGCTTTGGGATGTTCCTGGACACCAGCAGCTGAGTATTTTTAGTTGTGTTCCTTTGAATATTTGGTAAAACAGGCAATGTGTTTATATTCAGCTTCCTGTGTCCGTATCAGCCTCTTGGCATGTGCTGGAGTTCCAGGGGGAGGAGGGAAAGGGAAGAAAGTGTGTTGTGAGGGTTATTTGTGCTGCAGCAGCTGAGGCTGCTGGGACCAGCTCCTTGTTTAAACACTGGGCTCAGCTCAGGCAGGAGCCAGCCTTGCTCCCCCTGTGTTCACCCCCTGTGTTCACCCCCTGTGTTCACCCCCTTTCTCTTCCCACCCTCCTCCCGTGGCTTTCCCATCCTGCTGTGCAGGGACAGGTGAGTTTTTGGCACGCTTTGCTGTGGATGTGTGGTCCAAGCCCTGCTGCCCTGCTCCACCCAGCCCTGCTCTGTGCAGGGGCTGCTCTCCAGCCTGGCTCTCGGGGTGTTTGGAGGTGGAAAAGCCCATCTCAGCCCTGCTGGGAGGGAGCAGCCTGCATTCCCAGCCTGCATTCCCAGGCTGCTGCCCTGATCCAGCGGCTCTGTGCCATCACCCCTTTGCTCTGCAGAGCCATTCCCTGTGCAGAGCCAGCGGGAGCTCACAGGGGAGATTTTGTCTGGTGTTGCCATCTAAAGAAGGCTTTTCCTTGTGCCCAGCCTCCCCCAGAGTACATAACCAGGAGGTTTCCTGGTGCTGTAAGCTGAGGAGGGAAAATTCTCCCTCCCAGTTTCCAGGAGAGTGCCAAGGGGGTGCCCTGGGACCAGCCCTTGCTGCCTGAACCAGGGAAACGTCAGGGACCGGTGGTTACCATAGAAAGGGAAAAATAGGGCAGGTTTGGATGAGATATTGGGGATGAATTCCTCCCTGGCAGAGTGGGCAGGCCCTGGAACAGGAATTGCCAGAGCAGCTGTGGCTGCCCCTGGATCCCTGGCAGTGCCCAAGGCCAGGCTGGATGGGGCTGGAGCACCTGGGACAGTGGGAGGTGTCCCTGCCATGGCACAGGGGGATGAGGGGAGCTTTGAGCTCCCTCCCATCCCAACCCAGTCTGTGATTCTGTGACTGCTGTGAACAATTTTGAGCAGATCCCAAATTACATTTTCAGCTCTTGTTTGTAGCTTCAGCCCCCCTCCCAAGGTCAGGGTTTTTGGTCTCAGCTTGGAGCTGGGATAAGCAGAAAGTGTCCCTGACGTCTTTGGGACAGGGACCATCCTTCAGCCAGCTGGATCTGGTAGAACTTGCAAGGGATTCCTCCTGCAAAGCAGGGATGCTCCAGCTGCAACTGGAACTCCTGCAGAGCAGGAGGAGCTGGCTGGTGCTGCCAGCCCTGGCCAGAGGGACTGGGACCCATCCAGCTGTGGAATTTCCTCAGCCCACGTGCCCTTCCCTGATTTATTCCTTCCCAGCAGGGCCTCTGAGTGGAGGCTTTTGCAGGGGGTGCATGACTGCAGCCTCCAGCTATGCCAGCAATGCTGGGTTTGTGGGGTTTTATGAGTGGCCTGATAGGAGCTTTGATTAGGCAGGAATATCAGTGTGGCTCTGGGGTGGGAGGCGGCCCCAGGAGCTGGAATTACTGCTCAGGTTAATTAGAGATGGGCTTGGGCTGCTGCTCCCTGGAGGTCTCTCCCAGCCCAAACCATTCCGGTGCTCCCTGGCTGTTGTGGCTGTGTGTGCATCCCCCTCGGCATGCACAAGCCAATTAAAAAATGATCCTTATTTTTCCCTGAGGATGTCCAGGGGTGCGAGCAGGTTGGGATGTTGCACAGATAAGCAGAGCAGCAGCTTTCCCATTCCAGCTTTGATTTTACAGCAGTCACACGGCCGTGGAGGAGGTTACGTGTCACGTTTATTTATTTTGGTTTCCTTGCTGGATGTGGACAGGACAAGCCTGGCACGGGGACAAGGACTGTGGCAAGGCAGACTGTCCTTAGCACAATTTATTTTCCTCCTCCACGCAGTGATTTGACCAGCACTTGGTAAAAGTGTGATCCCATTTCCAGCACGGGAAGCGGGGTGTGATTATCATGGGAACACTGCCCGTGCTGCTGCTGGAATCTGAAATGCAGGGAGCTCTCAGACCTTTGGGCTTGTAAGGCAAAGCTTGGAATTAAACCCAGGATTTGATCTGACACCTTGGAAAAGCCTCCCAAACTGAGGTGCAGGAAGGGAGAATGTGGATTTATGGTTTAAAGCAAGGACACGTTAAGCTCAATAAAATAAATTTTAGAGTTTAAAGTATGGAAGTGATTTGACCAGCACTTGGTAAAAGTGTGATCCCATTTCCAGCACGGGAAGCGGGGTGTGATTATCATGGGAACACTGCCCGTGCTGCTGCTGGAATCTGAAATGCAGGGAGCTCTCAGAACTTTGGGCTTGTAAGGCAAAGCTTGGAATTGAACCCAGGATTTGATCTGACACCTTGGGAAAGCCTCCCAAACTGAGGTGCAGGAAGGGAGAATGTGGATTTATGGTTTAAAGCAAGGACATGTTAAGTTCAATAAAATAAATTTTAGAGTTTTAGAGTTTAAAGTATGGAAAAAATAAAAGTAATTACAGAAGTAAACAAAGAGTTTAGAATGCAGCACTGTAGGTTTGTGTGTCATAACATGATTGGCTAAAGGAGCTTGCACTGTAGCATGAGTCCATAAAATGAAATATTTAAAGGTTGAGTCAAAAACATAAATATCCTTGTTGACAGCGTTTTATTAGTCAATAACTCCTTAAAAAGTCTTATAGCTAAGGGTCTTGAGACCTTCTAAACCATGTTGTAATGATATGAGCCAAATTCACCCTTCCTGCCTGTGCAGAAGATAAGAAAAACAAACCACATCATCAAAACCAATTCAAAAGTCCCGTGTCAAATTCCTTCCAAAATCCCCCACAAGTAAATTACCACTGCCTGCCTGGCTCAGGACCACCCCTGGGGAGTTTCAGGTGGGTTTTCCCTCCTCCCTGCCTGGGAATGAGGGAGGGGATGGCTGTGGGGCTCCCTGGCCGGGTGGAGCAGCCCCGGGCTGGGTGCCAGCCCTGGCAGTGCAGCCTGGCCTCATCCCAAAGGCTGAGTTGTCACTGGCAGCCCTGGATCCAGCCCTGCCCTGGCTCTGCCAGCTCGGGAAGTGCCTCTGGTGCCAGTTCCACACTGGGATGCCAGCAGAGGGTCCCACGGGCACTGCTGGCACTGGCACAGAGCTGTGTGTGAGCTGCAGGGACTGTGCAGCAGGGTGAAGGGAAAGGTGATTCTCCTTGTAAATCCCTCCCTGCTCCAGCTGTCTCGGAATTCCCATCACCTGGGGGCTCCCTCGCCCTCAGGGGGCTGGGGTGCTCACCTGGGTGCTCACCTGGGCAGAAAAGGCTGCAGGCAGAGCTCAGGGCCCCAGGGCCCCAGGAGATGAGGGCTGGTGCCATCCCAGGTTCTCTCTGGGGTGCAGGGCCTCCACAGGGAATGTGAGCTCTCGGATTTGTTTGGGCACTGATTGAAACCCAGCTGTGAGGACACATCACTGCAGGCTGACAGCTCCCAGTCTCCAGGGACAGAGTGATCCCGGAATGGCTGCAAGGGACCTTCAGTCCCTTCCTGGGCAGGGACACCTTCCCCTGTCCCAGGCTGCTCCAAGCTTCAGGTGGATTTTCCAATCTCAGAATATTGTTTTTGTGGTTAGCATGAAGCCACAAGTGCCAACCCCCCCCAGCTTTGGCTTCCTTGCACTGTGAAATCCTTATAACTTGGATTTTATTCTTGTTTCAGGATCATTACACCGATAAAATCAAGGCAAGCTGGACAGGGAGCAAGTCTGCCTATGTAGGTGAGTTTCCAGTCCACTCTGGTTCTTTTATTCCGTGCAAAATACAAAGCAGCATGACAGGTCCCAAACCCTGGTGATTTAATTTTGTTCTGGAGCAGAACAAATACCAAGTCCTTGGCAGGATTGCTGACACTTTTCACCTCATTCTTTTAACTGCCTGACTGCTCTTGGGTTGAATTCAGGGGGCAGAAAAACCTGCTTTTCCCACAGAAATTAAGCTTTTCCTTGTTTATTTCCCTGATTAGGGGGATTTTTTTTACCAGCCTGCAAATCTTCATCATTTCTGTCTTTGCTGTGCTATTTTGTTTGACCATCAAAAAATGCAGATTATTCTATATTCCCCCCATCCTTAAAAATAGGCAGCTGGATAAATTCCTGCAGCCAAGGAAGTGGTGAAATCCTTCCCAGCTTCCCAGTTCCTGGAGCTGAGCCCCGTGGGGCTCTCCCCAGAGCATGCCAGCCTTTATCTGTGCCAGACAAAGAATCTGCTGAAGGTCACAGAGCCTGGGGCCAGGCTGGAGCTTCCAGCACAGCTCTCTCCTGCTTTGCAGCCTGATTTTCATACAGCTGGAAGTCTCTTTGCAAACGTCCCTTTGGAGTTTTCCCCTCTTTCCCTGTGGGAATGAGCCCTGGGGGAGGAACAGGGACCTTCTGTGGGGAGGCTGCCCTGCAGTTCACTGCCTTTTCCAGTGGCTTCAGTCTCCAAAATAACACTGCTCAGATGTTTTTCAAAGTAACCTTGATCTAAAAGTCTCTTTTCGTGTGTGCTAAAGACACAAAAAGTGCAGTCAGGAGAAATGCAGAGGAAAGCAAAAGCAGGTTTTTCCACTGCTCCTCTCCCAAAACGTGCCTTGGGTTTGACTGACTCCCACAGGGGGGGCTGCCTTTGGAAATCAAAGGGAGCTGCAGCCCAGTTTGATCAGCTGGATGCTGCTGGAACAGCTTAGGAAGGGAGGTTGTGGAGGAGCACAGCCTTAATTAAACACCCAGAACACCAAGGCCAATTGAAGATCTTGGGAGTTGTCTGTTTCCTTTCATTTCACATCATTAAGGATTTTAATCCCCAATTAAGACACTGGCAGTGTTATTTATAATTAAAAAAGATCTCTAGTGTAGAATCTCTCAGTACTCTCAAGTGTAAATTCTCTGAAGGAGGGAACATCACAAGTGGATGTTCTGTGCTTTAAGGGGTTTTTATTGTGTGTTTGCACTGACAGGCACCTGTGCAAACCAGGTGGATCTGCCAGAATTCCCAATTTTCATGCAGCCCTGGCTGCTGCACCTCCTCCAGGAGGGGGATGGCCTTGCTGGACCTTTTCTGCTGGAAAATTGGGATTGGAATCTGAGCTGCCTGAGCTCCCCCGACCCCTTCAGCTGTGGTGCACCCCAGAGCAGCCCCAGGCCCCCCAAAACCGCTGCAAGTCCTGCAGCTGCCAGATGCTGCAGCTTTCCCTTTCCAGGCTGGGATCCTTGGGGAGGGTCTTGCTTTCTTTCACTAAACCCAAGCTTTTTCTAGTGCATATTAAATATTTGTGTCATTACTGTAAATCTCACCTGAGGCCTGCTTAAAAATCCAGTCCTGCTTAAAAATCCAGTCCTGCTTAAAAATCCAGTCCTGCTTAAAAATCCAGCCCTTCTCACCTGCTCAGCCAGGGAGCTGCTGCTCACAGCTTGCTCTGGGGTAGGTGTGGACAAATCCTTCTCCTTCTCCATGATGGGGTCATGGGAGAGCCCTGTTGCCATTTTTCCTGGGAAGTTTGCACTGTGGATGTTGTGTTCAGCCTGCAAAGGGCAGGAGTGGCTCGGGGTGCCCCCAGAAATCTGTGGGATATTGCACCACTCGTCTCTCTGCTGGCTGTGTGGGGAATAAGGATGGTGAAATTCCAGAACTTGGGTTGGGAGGGCCCTCAGAGCCCACCCAGTGCCATGGGCAGGGACACTCCCACTGTCCCAGGCTGCTCCATGCTGCCTTGGACCCTTCTAGGGATGGGACAAAAGCACCATCAAAAGAGAACAGACCCAAAAGCACCTCAAATCCCTCTTTACTCCCCCCTCAGCTCCGTGTGCTGGCTGAGGGCAGGACCCCGGTGCTTTCCTGCTGCCCAGGTTCATTTTCCATTCTCTTTGGCAGAAGGAAAAGGTTCCAGCTCCAGAGCTTCCACTGGGTGTCAGCACGGCCCCACACTGGGCTGGCAGAGCCCTGGGCTTTCCCCTGGGCTGCTGAAGATCCAGGCTGGATGGGCTGGAATCTTCTCCTTCTCCTTCTCCTTCTCCTTCCTTTCCTTCCCCTTTCCTGCCTGGGGCTCCTTGTTCCAGGTCTCACTGTGCCTCCAAAGCCTCTCCTTTTGCCTCTCCTTTCCTTTCCTTTTCCTTTCCTTTTCCCTTCCCGGGGCTCCTTGTTCCTCCAAGCCCTCTGCAGCACCTGGGCTGAAAACAGAGCCAGGCACACTGAGATTCCTCCAACAGATTCTTCCTCTGGAGGCCTAAAAAATCAGAACTCAAAGCTGGGGAAGGTCGCAGTTCCAGAGTTTGTGCTGCTCTGTGGAATTCTTTCGGCTGTGCCTGTGGCTGGTTGTGCTCCAGCGCCTGCTCAGAACTGAGTTGTTTATTCCTGCCCCCACCTCCAGTGCCAGCAGTGGCCTCCTGCCTTGGTCTGGGAGCATTTTCAGGTTCTGCAAGTCATGACAAACCCAAGGGTGCCCTGTAGGAAGAGCAGCCCCAGCATTCAAGTCCTGACGGGCCGCCGGCCCCCGCAGAGCTGCTGGGAATGCAGCACGGGCAGAGCCCCTGGCACCTTGGCAGGGAGCCTCACCCCAGCCTGCCCTGCTCCTGGAGGGGGCACAGGGCCAGCCCAGGCCCTGCCAGCCCCCTGCTCGTGCCACCCCTCCAGGGGCTCCTTCTCCCTGTTCTCCATAAGGATTTCCCTCAGCTTGGTGCCACTCCCTGCCTCTCCTCTTCCTCCTCCCAGCGCCTTCCTGCCCGACAAATCCCTGCATTTTCAGGAGCAAAATCTTACTCCTTTTATTCCTGTGAGCTCTGGGAGTGTGCGTTGCTCAGAGGAGGCAGCTGGGGCTGGGATTTGGGGTTTGCTGGCGTTACTCCCAAATTGTTTGCAGGGTGCCAGCTGAAGGCAGCAGGATGAAGGGATGCCAGGGAGGAAGGAGGGAGCAGCACGGCTCTGCAGGCAGGGCTGTGGAACAGCAACCACAGCCTGTGTCAGTGTTAATGACAAACCAGGCCCAAGTTCAAACTCTCCCAGCAAACAGCAGGGAGTTTACAGGGCTGGGAATGGTGTCCCTTGGAAACCTGCAGCACCCGTGGTGGAATTACTGCAGCCTCTAACTCGAGCTCAGGGCTGGGAATGAGCTGGGAGCAGCAGCTCTGAGCTCGTCCAGCTGCTTGTTTCCCTCTTTTCCCCCTGTTCCCGTGCATTTCAGAGAAGTGGGATCATTCCCATGGTGGAGATTGTGTCTGGTTTATCAGGAGCAGCATCCAAACATTTCCGGGCTGGAGCTGCTCCAGCAGCAGCAGCAGCAGTGACTGCTGGGCTCCCCCCACCCCGTGGGCCTGCAGGGCACCCACACCAGGGGAGCAGGGTCAGGGGGACCTGGGGAGCACCCCGTGTCCTTTCCTGCCCTTTCCTGGGCGAGTTTGGCACATCCATCCTCCTTTCCATCCTCCCCAGCAGGGCTCCAGTGGCTCTGGGAAGGGAGAGCCTTTGGAACCTGCATTTGCAGGTCAGCTGTGACTTCAGATCCCTGCTGGCAGCCCTGGAAAACAAACCAGGGGCTGCAAAACCAGGGCTGGAAAACAAACCAGGGCTGGAAAATCAGGGCTGGAAAACAAACCAGGGGCTGCAAAACCAGGGGCAGGAGAACCAGGGCTGGAAAATCGGGGCTGGAAAACAAACCAGGGGCTGCAAAACCAGGGTTCCATCCTCCCCAGCAGGGCTCCAGTGGCTCTGGGAAGGGAGAGCCTTTGGAACCTGCATTTGCAGGTCAGCTGTGACTTCAGATCCCTGCTGGCAGGGCTGGAAAACAAACCAGGGGCTGCAAAACCAGGGGCAGGAGAACCAGGGCTGGAAAACAAACCAGGGACATGAGAACCAGGGGCTGGAAAACCAGGGGCAGGAGAACCAGGGCTGGAAAATCGGGGCTGGAAAACAAACCAGGGGCTGCAAAACCAGGGGCAGGAGAACCAGGGCTGGAAAACAAACCAGGGGCTGGAAAACCAGGGCTGGAAAACCAACCAGGGGCAGGAAAACCAGGGCTGGAAAACAAACCAGGGGCAGGAAAACCAGGGCTGGAAAACAAACCAGGGACATGAGAACCAGGGGCTGGAAAACCAGGGGCAGGAGAACCAGGGGCTGGAAAACAAACCAGGGGCTGGAAAACAAACCAGGGGCTGGCGGGGTGTTACACTTATAGGTGTTGTCATTGTCACTGGTGTTGGTTTGTGTTTTGCCCATCCTGCTCTGTTGATCCAAGTTCTCAGTTATTCCCCTCCAAATCTGCTTTATTTCACAGAAACAGTTCCAAGACACCTCTGAGGCTTTGTCCTGCTGCCAGCCAGGCTTTGCTGCTCCAGTATGAGCTGGCTTGGCACAACTGGAGCCAACTGGGAGCTGTGTTCCAGGCAGAGCTGCTGGGGTTTCCAGCAGATCCCAGCTTCAGCAGGGCTGATTTAATTACCTTTCACTCAGCAGGTGCCTCACGAGTCCTGGATCTAAGAGAGTAAATAAGACAGTCCAGAGTTTAATTATCCCAGTGGAGCTGGGCTTTGGCAGGCAGCCCAGGCGGATCTGGGGATCTGCTGCATGGCAACCTCGTTACCTAAAGCCTGAGGAAAGAAATAGGGCAAGGCCTGCAAAAACAGGGCTTTTCTCTGGAAGAGGGGCAGCTCCACCTGTCTGCAGGTGTTTCAGGAAGGGAAAAAGTGCAGCTGTGTGGCTGTGGGAAGTGCACTGGAAGTTTCCTGTGGTTTTGTCTTTCCCTGGCAGAGCCGGTGGGAATCCTCCTGTGCAGTTTGCAGAGGGTAAATGAGAAATAAATCCTTCCCTGGGAGGGTGGGCAGGCCTGGCACAGGCTGTGGCTGCCAGGGATGCCTGGCAGTGTCCCAGGCCAGGCTGGATGGGTTTGGAGCAGCAGGAGGTGGCCCTGCCATGGCAGGGTGGTGCCCAGGGGAGGCTGGCCTGGCTCTGATCTTTTGTCTCGGTTTAGGCTCTGAGTCAGATCCAAGGGAGAGTTGCAGCCGTGCCTGCAGCTGCTCTGGGCTTTGGGAATCTCTGTCAGCACCACCGGGTCCTGCTCAGCTGTGTCACACCCAGGGCACTGAGATTGTCCCTACAGGGAACCCCCCCCTGCCTGGAGGTCACAGCAGAGAATCCTGGAATGCTTTGGGCTGGAAAGGACCTTAAATCCCACCCAGTGCCACCCTGCCATGGCAGGGACACCTCCCACTGTCCCAGCCCTGCCCAGCCTGGCCTGGATCACCAGCCATGATTTGGTTTAGCTGGTGAAAGGACAAACTTGTTGAAAATTCATTTTTGGTGCATTTAGCCCAGAAGGAGGAGCTGGGACTGGGCGTGCTGGGCACCAGAGATCCCAGGGGAGGCGTTGGGATGGGGGAGGCTCTCAGGGCTGCCTGCTGAGCACCAGGGATCATTTCCTGGAAATCAGAGCCTCTCTTCAGGGAGCAGCTTCTCCTCCTGGCACAGCCTGCTGGCCCAGCAAGCCCTGCCCAGGGCTCTGAACCCCCACGCTCTGCAGAGTTCTGGCACCTCCAGCTGAAATCTGGGGAGTTCTGGGAAGTCCAGGCTGCCCTGGGAGAAATCCCATGGCTGCAGCAGCTCGGGTCCATTGCCAGGAGCTGGGAAGGAAAACAGATTTATTGGGAGCTGACCTAGTTGTTGTAAATCTCCCTGCAGAAGAGGTTTAGTAATCTTAGGAGGGCTATTAGAGCTCGTGTTTGTTTGGAGATGGGCAAACGCAGCAATTTAATTTTCAGATCTTACGGTTTGGCTTGTTTTGGTTTGGTTTGTTTTTCCCAAACATCTCATTTATTAACAAAGCTAAGCAGCTGGGAAAATAAGCACTGGAAGTTTCCTAAGGAGGTCAATCCATGTGGGGTGGGAAGGGATCCAGAGAATCAACAGCTCCAGTGGCAAAAGGGGCTTTGGGGCTGGGGGAGGGAGGGCTGAGTGTGGCCTTTCCCCAGTTAAATGAGAGGATAATGGTTTATCTTTTACTTTTGCAACTTTTTTAACCTTTAAAAAAAAAGGTACTAAAATTAGAGGAATCAGCAGCTCCCGAGCTGTCCTCTCAGAGCTGCTTTTGTTACTGGATGAAAATGCATTGCTGTGTGTTGGGTTTTTCACACTGCTGGTTTTGAATATTGTCAGGGAAAACTGCAGGGGCTGGGCTGGGAGTTTGGGCTCTGTTTGTGGTGGATCTGTGCTTTGTGTCCATGTGAAACAGCTCCTTATCCCAGAGATGGGTTTGGGGCCCCATGGGCAGAGCCCTGTTGAACCCAGCAGCTCCTGCAGGGCCTGTTGGAATTTCCTGCTGGGAAAATTCATTTTTTATGTAAAGGGGCTCCAGGAGAGCTGGGGACAAGGCCTGGAGGGACAGGACACAGGGAATGGCTCCCACTGCCAGAGGGCAGCCATGGATGGGATGTTGGGAATTGGGCTGGGATTCCCAGAGCAGCTGTGGCTGCCCCTGGATCCCTGGCAGTGCCCAAGGCCAGGCTGGACACTGGGGCTGGGAGCATCCCTGGATCTGCAGGGGGATCTCTTGCTCTTCTCTGCAGGAAATGAGTTTGTAGTGGCAGCAAATCTGAGGAGTGACTGTCCCTCCTCCAGCATTTCCTGCCTCCTGGGAATTGCCCAAAGCTCTTCCAAGGAATGTCCCCTGCACACAGGGCCTGGGAGCAGGGAAGTGCTGTCCCCAGCCTGCTGGGCTGGCACTGGGATCAGCCCTGCTGCCAGGCTGGGGAGAGAAACCTGAGCCTGCAGGGCAGGAAAGGGCACGGGGCTGCCTCGGCTCTGCAGGGCTCTGGGGAGCACTGGAGGGGCTCAGCACTGGAGGGGCTCAGCACTGGAGGGGCTCAGCACTGGAGGGGTCCCACACAGCTCCCCTCTTCTCCTGGGGCTGGGCAGAGCCAGCAGAGCCCTGCTGGGATACAGGACAGGGACACGGGCAGGGCTGGGCTGGAGGTTCCTGCAGACCTGAATAATTTGGAATCCCAGGCTGGTTTGGTTGGGAGAGAACTCAAATCCCACCCAGTGCCACCCCTGCCATGGCAGGGACACCTCCACTGTGCCAGGCTGCTCCCAGTGTCCCTGACAGCACAGCAGCTCCGTGCCTTTCTGTGTTTTACCTCCAGAGCTGCTTTTGGCTGAATTGTGCTGTTGGATGCACCAACAATAACGTTCAACAATCCCTTTTTGCAGCGTGTGGCAGATGCCTCTGTGCAGCAGCAGCTCGGGCTGCTGTGCTGCCCTCTGGAATAACATCCCCCTGTCTTTCCAAGCAGAGCTGCCCTGCCCCACTGAAGATGTCAGGCAAAACAGCCACCACGACCAACAACATCGCCCAGGCACGCAGGACCGTGCAGCAGCTCAGGATAGAGGCCTCCATCGAGAGGATAAAGGTGAGCACAGCCTGCCCCCTCCTTCTCCTGGCCTTTCCCTGCTGGATGGAGGACAGCGAGGTAACGGTGTCTGTGTGGGGTTTGTGTCTTTGTGCACCCTCAGCTCAGCCTTTGTTCCCCTCAAAGCTCAACAAGTCCAAATAAATAATAATAAATAACAAATAATAACAATAAAAAAATAAATATTAACAAATAATAATAAATAATTATTAATAATAAATATCATTAATAATATTAATAAATAATAATCAATATTGATAAATAATAATAAATAAATCCACTTCTTGTGGCCCAGTGTCCCACCCAGCCCTGCCCTCTGGCAGTGGGAAGCTGTTCCCCCTTGTCCTGTCACTCCAGGAGAGATGAAAATCCCTCTGGAATTATTTTGAAGCCCTGTGGGAAATGGATTTGTAGAGAAATGTTAAAGTCTGACAGAAGCTTCACACAGTGTGTATTTGTATGTAAATCTTGAGATAAGAAATGTTGATTTAGAAATGGAATAGGACAGACATTGTTGAGAGAGAAATGGAGCTAGAAACAAGTTCTAAAGGGTGGTTTTGTAAACAAGACTAGGTCCTTTGGAGAAATAGAATTATGGAAGGGTGGGCTCGTGAGGGGTAATTTTAGATTATTGGCTTTAAGGTGTTTATGCTATGGTGTAGTAAAATTTGATTAAGAAAGGTTAAGAAGCACTTACAGAATATTGTAGTTAGAAATAGCTGTTTTCTGGTGGTGCTGTGAAGCCCCTCCTGTTGTTTCAGCTTCCTTTGGGAGCCTGGTGGATCCCTCTCTGCCTGGAATCACAGGCTCCATCCTTCCCCCATTCCCTGGGGATCACACCTGGAGAAGAGTCCGTCCCCAGCAGCTCTCCCACCCCACAGCTGCCCCACAGCCCTCAGGGGTTTTTGGTGGTTTTGGTGCTGTTTCCATGGCAAACCCCCCTTGTGCTGCTTCCCTGTGCCCTGCAGCTGTCCCACCCCACAGCCCTCAGGGGTTTTTGGTGGTTTTGGTGGTTTTGGTGCCATTTCCATGGCAAACCCCCCCTGTGCTGCCTCCCTGTGCCCTGCAGCTGTCCCACCCCACAGCCCTGAGGGGTTTTTGGTGTTTTTGGTGCTGTTTCCATGGCAAACCCCCCCTGTGCTGCCCCTGCAGGTGTCCAAGGCCTCGGCTGACCTCATGCTGTACTGCGAGGAGCACGCCAAGAAGGACCCCTTGCTGATGGGAATTCCAGCCTCTGAGAACCCCTTCAAGGACAAGAAGACCTGCACTTTGTTATAGGACAGCAGTGGGCACTCCTCCTGCCCAGCCCCTGCAGCCCAGCTGGGCCAAGCACCACCACTCCCCCAGGTACCTGCACCCCGTGGCACTCCCCGAGCCTGTGCAGAGCATTCCCTGAGCTCCCCAAGGCATTCCTGCTCGTCCCTGTCCCCCCAGGAGCTTTCTGACTCAAGCCCTGTCTGTCCTGGCCAGGGGAATGGGCTCCAGGCTCTCTGCACGGGGGTCCTGGTGGCATTTGCCAAGCCCAGCACGACCAAAGTTGCCTGAGCTTTGCAGATAAAGCAAAGCTGTAGAGACCTGATGGAATCACTGGGTTTACATTTTATAAAATTAGGGAATTTTTTTTTTTGGGGGGTGGGGGGGTTGTGCCTGTGCTGGCAGCACCTGTTTGTGCACAGGCACATCTAAAGTGCATTTTCTAGCAAAATCTGCCTTGCAAAATGATTGTAGCAGCTGCTGGGGAGCTCCAGGGAGCTCTGCCTCAGCCTTCCTCCCGCTGGCCTCTCATCCCAGGGCTTCTAAAGGACAGAGCTGGGAATCAGAGATGCTTTCCCTGCTTTCCATCCGTTGGAAAACCAGAATTTCTGCTGCGTTTTCTTCTCGAATAAAACACCTGTGTTAGTCTAAAACACAGCCCCAAAGCAATGAGGAAAGAAAGAGGCTGGAAGTGCCCTGGCAGAGCTGGAGGAACGCTGCCCTCGCTCCCAATCCCAGCTGGGTTCTGAGCAGGGAGTCAGAACTTGACTCATTTTTATAAAAAAATCCATTTTTAAACAGGAAAAATGCCAAATTCGCTCCAGCTTGTGGTTATGCATCTATAATTGAGGGCCTTTCCATCTAGTATATATTTTATATATACACATAATAAAAAAGTCTTTCTGTGTGTGTGTGTGTAGATATATAAACTTTATACATTAACAGCAAATTTTGAAGGGTTCAGAAATAATCCTGGTTTCAGCTGGCTGCAAATGTCCTTGTGTGCAGGCAGCAGGAGTCCTGTGCCATGACCCTGCATTTCTGGGAGGATATTTGCAGGATTCATGAACCACTTGTCATTTACGTTGCACATTTGTCATTTCTAGATGTAATCATGGACCTGCTTTTGATACAGAATAAAAAAAAAATCAACTTTGTGTGACAGATCTCTTTGGCAGAGCTCCAGAAATCAGCCTGACAGAGGAACCTGCTGCTTACCCTGGGCTTGCCTGCCAATTATTTTTTGCAATCAGAGTATTTTTGTGGTGGCAGTTTAAAAAAACCAACGTGGTCTGCACTGATTCCTCTTGGCCGTGTGTGTGTGTGTGTGTGACAGCCCTGGAGAGAATTAATGAGCTCTGTTAATTGCCCAGGGAGGGGCTGAGGGAAGTCCAGCTGTGCCCAGCTGCAGGAGGGCTGCGGGGAGGGAAGGAGCCTCGTGCTGCTGGTGTTTGTTTTCCCAGGAATCCGGGCAGAAATGGGAATTGTTTTGGTGTGGTTTGAGCTCCCTGGTGGGGCTGCAGGGGTGTTTTGGTGCCTGCCCTTCGGTGAAGCTCGTGGCAGGGTGCTGATCCAGATGTGGCCCAGCACAGCTGCCCACATCTGTCAGTGTTTAATCCAGGCATTCTTGGTGAAATTGCCATTTTTAAACGCAGTGTGCACTCAAATCTGCAGTGGTTACGTCTGCACTTTGCTTTTTGCCATCGATACCCCCAGGATGAACAGGGATTCTAAAATCTGGGGAAATGCAGGCTCTGCCCTTGCTGATTTTTTAAAAAAGAATTTAAACCATTGCATGCAGAGGTGCTGGGAGAAGCCCATGGTAAGACCCCACCGGGTGCATCACTGGGCTGCCCCTTTTGTCCTTGGCCAAGCTGGCTGATTTGGGGAGAAAAATGGGAATTTGGGTGCTGGTTTGGGGAGAAAAATGGGAATTTGTACGCTGATTTGGGGAGAAAAAATGAGAATTTGTGTGCTGATTTGGGGAGAAAAATGGGAATTTGGGTGCTGGGCCAGGTGTCCCCAGGACCCCCCACTTTGTGGTGTGGGGACAGGGCTGGGGTGACACTGGGAGAAGCCAGAGGGGTTTGGGTTGAATCTGAGCTTGGAGAAATAAAGAGAGAGAAAGAACACTGCTGCTGCTGCAGTGTCCCCGGGCCCAGGGTGGCACCCGGGCTGGACACGGGGACAGGGTGGCCTGGTGCTGGAGCATCCCGGGAGTGGGAGAACAGGTCCAGCCTCCCCTCCTGGCCGGGCTGGGCACGCCAGGGTGGCCTGGGGAGGGAGGGAGGGACAGCGTGTCACCGCTGTCCCCGGGCAGTGCCAGCAGCAGGGCCATTGTCCTGCCACCTGTGCCAGCCTGGCCGTGCCACTGCAGAGGAGCTGGGGCTGCCAACAAACCCCGGGCCAGGTTTTCCTCCCCCGGGGAATGAGGATTCCCCCTGCCAAGGGGGAGCTGCAGGAGCACAGAAACATCGGCAGCAAAACCCATTTTTTTTTTTTCAAATTTAATTTTTTTTTTAGCTGCTGTTGTGCAAAATAAATAAATAAATAACATTCCCAACATTTCCTGCAGCACACGGGCTGCTCCAGGGTTTAATTGCTTGGGAGGGGCCGGGAATGAACCCACACTGGAGCTGCACAACAGGACCTTGCCCATGGCCAGGAGGAGGAAGCAGCTGCTGCTCAGCCCTTGTGTCTGCGCTCGTGGAGTGAGGAAACCCAGGCCTGGGCCAAAGGTTTGATTTTACACTTTATTTCAAAAAAAGAAAACACAAAACAAGAACACCATAAGCCCAGAAAACACTCGAATTTCAAACAATTATATTAATGGCGCTGCTTTTGCAGCCAACTGGGAGAAGAGTCGTGGTTGCAGACCAACTGCTCGAGGGCGTTTCGGTTCTCAGACCTCCAAGTATAAATAATTATTCCATCGATATCAGAAAATAACTTATTATTATTATTATATATCTTAGCATAAAAACGTGAGAATTACATCCCAAAAATACACCAACATTGCTGGCAAAAGGCCTCGATCAACCTTGTTTGCTCGTTAAGGTGTTCAAAGCAGGAACTTTAAGTGGCACTTAAGGACAGAAGGAGTGAGGGGAGCTCTGGGGAGGGCGTCGGGCTGGGCTCACCCCTGTTTTCCACAGCTCCAGCCGAACCCCCCCAGCTGACATCACTTAGAGCTTTATTATTTTATATCTATTATTATTTTTTTTGCCGTTGCTGCCGTGGGTTTTGTTTTGCCCCCTGCCCTGGCGGAGCCGGGCAGGAGTTCCTTCCTGAGCAGAGTCCAGCGGCGGCGGGGCGCGGGTCACCGCTCGGGCAGGTTGACCACCGGCACCCACTGGTCCAGGTACCGGCTCTCCCGGCAGAAACACATCAGCTGGCTCAGCGCCGGGTCCTTCCACTGCGACGCCTGCGGGTTCTGCAAAGGGGACGCAAAAAGCTCCGGCACGGCAGCAAAAACAACCCGGGAGCGGCGCGGGGGGGTGGGGGGAGCGCAGCAGAAAGAGCAGGAGCGTGAATCATCTTAAATTGCTGGCGAGGCAAACAAACAAGTCAGGCCTGGGAGCATGTGAGGAGTTTAGCTTTGGACTCTGGGGCAGAGGAGGGAAGGGGGAAAAAAATAGGAGAGATAAAAGGGGGGGAAGGGAGAGAAAAACGGGGGGAAAGAAAAAGGGAAAAAGAGGGAAGGGGGGAAAATAAAGAGGGAGCAGGGAAAGGAGGAAAAGTAAGGAAAGAAGAGACAGAAGAGGAGAAAGGGGAGAAACGGAGGAGGAAGAGGGGGAGACACGGCGAGCGAGGGGCGAGCGCAGCCGGCGCTCGGGGCGCGGCAGGCTCCGCGGGGCCGCGGGTTCGAGTCCCGGGCGCGGCGGCTCGGGGGTCCCGCCCGGCGGCGGCCGGGGCTCACCGTGACGAGCACGCAGTGCAGGTCGGCGGGCGGGTCGGGGCCCGCGGCGGGCAGCAGCAGCTCGGCCAGGCGCGCCGGGTTGCTGACGCGCAGGATGTTGATGTCGTTCTCGCAGCAGAAGGCCCGCAGCAGCGTGAAGTGGATCTGCAGCGCCGCGTCCCCCGCCTCCTCCTCCTCGGCGGCCAGCAGGCACAGCACCACGTTATCGGGGTCCCTGCGGGGCAGCGCCGTCACCGCGGGCGCACCGGGCAGCGGGCGCCGGGGGCACGGGCAGGGGGGGCACTCACACGTTGAGCAGCTTGGCCGCCTCGTAGACGCCGAGGGTGAGGCTCCGCTGGCTCAGCGCCTTGCTCAGCACCTCCTCGAGCGCGTCGCCCGCCTGCTCCATCCTGCGCCGGGACACGCGGCAGCGCCCGTCACCGGCCGGCCCGCGCCGCTCCCCGCCCGGGCCCCGCCGCCCCCCCGGCCTCACCTCCCGGCGGCGCGGCGCTCCCCGGGCAGCTCCTCCAGAGTCATCGCGGGGACACGGCCGCTCGGGGCTCGGGCGGACAGCGGGCAGGGCGGACACCGCTCGGGCGGACACCGGACACAGCCCGGACACGGACACGGGCCGGGCTCGGACACCGCGCTCCGGCCGCGCCGCCCGAGCCGGACAAAGGCGCCCCGCGCGCGCTGCCCCGCCCGCCCCGGCCAACCCGCGCCGCCCTCGTTTGCATACCCCGCTCCCATTGGCGCATGCAAATGAGACCACGCCCACGGGGGGTGCTGAACCCGGCCGGGCCTGGCCCCGATCGGGACCGGGACCGGGACCGGGACCGCGACCGGGACCGGGACCGAGACCCTGCCCCGGAGCAGCCTGCTCCAAACCCATCCAGCCTGGCCTTGGGCACTGCCAGCGATCCAGGGGCAGCCACAGCTGCTCTGGCAATTCCAGCCCAGCCCCTTCCCAGGAACAATTCCTCATTCCCAGTCTCCCATCCATGGCTGCCCTCTGGCAGTGGAGCCATTCCCTGTGTGCTGTCCCTCCATCCTTGTCCCCAGTCCCTCTGCAGCTCTCCTGGAGCCCCTCCAGGCCCTGCCAGGGGCTCTGAGCTCTCCCTGGATCCTTCTCCTCTCCAGGGGAGCCCCCCCAGCTCTGCCAGCCTGGCTCCAGAGGGGCTCCAGCCCTGCAGCAGCTCCAGGGGCTCCTCTGGGCTCTCTCCAGCAGCTCCAGGTGCTGCTGCTGGCCCAGGGCTGGGGCAGCTCTGCAGGTGGGGCTCACCTGGGAGGGCAAAATCCCTCCTTGCATGGATGCCGTTCTCTGTCTTCCCTGCCCCTGCAGGAACTGCACTCCTGCAGTGCTCCTTGCAGGGAGCTCCCGTGTGCTCAGCCTCAGCAGCCATCAAACACAGGGCCAGTGTCTGCACTCCTGCAGTGCTCCTTGCAGGGAGCTCCCCTGCCCTCGCAGTGTCCCAGGCCAGGCTGGCCAGGGCTTGGAGCACCCTGGGACAGAGGTAGGTGTCACTGCCATGGCAGGGATGGCCCTGGGTGATCTTTAAGGTCCCTCATCCCCCAGACCAGCCTGTGGCTCTGTGATCTCTCCCTTTCCAAGAGCCTGGTGCTGCTCCGGGACGCTGCTCCCGCTCCAGATGTCCCGTGTCAGCCTGAGACCTCCGGGCAGGATTGCTCCTGTGGCTGCTGTGTCAGAGCTTTCTCAGCTGTTGCACCCAACCCCTCCATCCTCCCACAGCTGGTGCCAGAGCTCTTTCCCAACCTGGCTGTTCACCCCGGAACACTCCAGGGGCTTATCAAAGCATTTCTGCAGCAGGATAAAGGGTGATTTCTGTGCCCCCGGCTGTGTGGGCTCCGGCAGGAAGCTGCCGGGGTTTGTTCTGTCCCCCAGCCCGGCTCTGCCCGTCCTGCTGCCGCAGCCCGGCACGGCTCAAGGGAGCGGGGGAGAGGCAGAAAAGCCCTTTCTGCATCAGGTGGAGCGGTGGCAGATGGCCGGACCGC